ACCCTCCAATCCAAGTTTGAGACCCGTAAACATTACCTAACCTAGCCAAATTACGTGCATCCAAATTAGATAATCTGCTAAGGTACATGACAGAAGAAAATTTAAAATTCCTCAATAACTCTGACATCAGCAACTATAGGTTCAAGGACTGCAACCTTCTGGACTAAGTTGACACATTCAACCACAACCTTTGCATCAGACTGGACAAAAATCTTCTCTAGCTTCAGTTTCTTAGCCAACATCAAACTCCATAGAATAGCCATGATCTCCGCTACAGCTGGTTCGAGCATAATGTTTTCTTTTTGGTAAGCTGCCAAAGAAATGGCTTTGTTTTGGTCCTTAATAATGCAACCCAGGGTCATGATCCCTCCCTCAAAAATGATGGCATCCACCTGAAGAACATGCACTGCCATTGAACTCACCTCCTCCTTTGGTATTTCAGCAGAAGACACGCCTCCAGCCGAGTTCCACTTGTTGAATTCCAAAACACTTCCTACAGCATCCACTACAACCCGCACGAAGAAGGTTCCTTATGCTGGTACCGACGCAAATTTTGGGCCAACCAAATCTTGTAAATCATTGTGCACATTAATTGTGTGCTGAAAATATCTCCACATGAGAGGATACTCAACAACCAGTCATCGAAGCCAAACTCAATAGGGGTTCTATAACTCAAACAGGAAGAGAAAAGAGTTCGCTTTGCAAACTCACAAGCCCAGAAAAAGGTGATCCGCAGATTCATAAGCCTTTTGGCAGATAGAGCATGAAGGATCTAACTTGATGCCTTTTTTCACCAAGTTCTCCTTTGTTGGCAAGATGTTCTTTAAGGTTTTTGATGGTTCACTAGTTTATATTGTAGTCTAAAAATTTGCACATGTTTTTTATTATATAAAAAGATTTTCAAAAAAAATAGAAGGTCCTAATTTGATAAAAAAAACTTATTTGACTATAAAAAAAATTATTATTTGAATTTAATTTATTTACATCAATTGTAAAATTATTTTATTTTAAAATCAAACAACATTTTGTTTTATATGTGTTTTTTTTACAGTGTCAAAATCTTGTTTTATATGTATTTATAACGAACAAATATATAAAATTGATATTATGATAAGATTTGATTAAATAAATATATAAAAAGAATATGTCATTGTTATAAATCAATAAATCTTTTATTATTTTATTCTAATAATTAAATAAATAACTCAAGTTTCATTTTTTATTATATTATAAATAGATAACTTGAGTCTCTATCATTTTCACTTCAACTTATAAAATTATAATAAATCAATAACAATATCTTCCAAGTGAGATTACTTGATTTTTTTTTTTCATAATCAAGTAAATAACTTTAGAAAAAACAAAGATTCTCCGACTCCGACGGACACGAGCTAAACACGTCATAAAAGCGAAAAAATAGGGAGAGGATTGTGTAATTTTAACGCTCAAAAGTTACGGTAACTTTGTGTCGGTCTCTCTCCTATATTCTATCTCTCTCATCTTATTAAATAGTTTTTCTTTATTTTTTCATTCATAAACATCACATATTATACTAAAGTTACGGTACCTTTCATGCCACTAAGAGTACCTCCAACGGGAGGATTTTTCTTGGTTTTTCCACCTGGCGTACAGAGTATTAAATTTTGTTGTCGTTGGAGACATGTGACCTGTTCAACCGTTCCTATACAGTGCAACAGTAGTTTCTATTAAAATATTAATATAATTTAAATTTTTATTGTAACGTCTCTTTCTATTTTTCTTCTTCTTTTTTTTAAACATTTTTAGTTAGCTATAAATACACCCTATTTGAAAAATTTTACACACAAATTTTCTTTCACACTTTTATTTTCTCTTAAGTTTTCAATTTTTCTCTCAAAATTTTATCACTTTACTCTAAATTTTGAAATTTTTCTCTTACAATTTATTCTCATTAGCCTTCATTTGACAATATATTTTATCCAAATTTTTACCTTTTTACTTCAAAATTAATATTGTTTAGGCCAAATGGATCCTAATCAATTTAATTATCAATAATCTATGTTCAATTTCATGCAAAATTTTCAAAATCCTAATCCTCAAAATTCTCAATTCCCATTGATGCCAACAAACTCCGCCGCTTTTTTTCCATCATCAACCGGAAACACTCTGCCGCATTTCTTCCGTTACCAAACTCCACCATATGGTCAACCATCTATGGAATTTTTTCGTCATGAACCAGAAACACAGATTGTGTCTATGTCCGAAAGTCAAGTTCCAGCATTTTCAACTCAAGTCGGTATTGAAAAAGAAGAAAGTCGCCCTGTTAAAAAAAATCTCTAGAGGTATTTTCAAGGGATGAAGATATACTTCTTATCCAATCATGGCTCAATGTTTCAAAGGATTCAATTGTAGGAGTTGATAAAAAAGCTGAGAATTTTTGGTTAAGAATCACTACCAATTATAACGAGTATCGTGGACAATCGCGGGAAAAGCTACGTGGGCAATTAAAATCTCGATGGCATCGAATAAATGGTTTGGTTCAAAAATTTATTGGGTGTTACAAACAAGCTGTTAATGGAAAGAAAAGTGGGACTTCGGAGAAAGATATCTTGGCTGCTGCATATGCATTTTTTGCTCAAGATGAAGGTACACCATTCAATCTTGAGTACGCATGGCGATTGTTAAAGGATGAACCTAAATGGATGGGAGCATCGACCAAAAATTCTTCAAAAAGAATAAAGAATTATGCTAGTGGGGCACACTCATCATCGTCTAACCTCGCGACACCTTCAAGTTATGAGTTTAACTCATCATCACCAATGGAGTGTCCAATGGAACAACAAGCAGCAAAAAGAAAGAGTAAGGCAAAGGAAATTGCATTTGAATCACCTTCTAATGTTGTGCAAGAAACATGGAATAAAAGAGTAGCGACAATGGAAAGACTAGCTCAATGTAAGGAGGACGAGATGGAGTATAAGGCAATGCAATTACTCTCGAAAGACACTTCTATGATGAATGATAGTCAATGAGATATTCATGAAAAATATTGTAATAAGTTGGAAAAAAATATGGATTTTAGTTATGATGAAAAGATGTAGTACTTATTATGTATCAACACCTATGTAAAATGGTCATTAGTACCAATTTAATTTATAATAAATATTATGTTGTTATTCAAACTAGTCGTTATTCAAACTAGCCGTTATTCATATATCACTATATAAATGACCACTCTTCTAATTATTTTCTCATTCTTCTCTCAATCTTCTCTCATTCTTCTCTCTTTTTTCTCTCATTCTTCTTTCATTCTTCACTCACTTTAATGGATTCAGACAGTTCAGATGATCTCTTTTGGGACTTGATTGAAGAAGAATTTATGGATAACACTGATGAAGAACTACTAAAGTCAATGCTCGAGAAGGAACATTAATCTGGAGGTTCCTCTAGGCCCAAGAGAAGAACAGTGATAGATCGAAATCGTGAAGAAGGGCACAATCGTTTATTCAATGACTACTTCTCGGAAAATCCAATATACACAGATGTTCAATTCCGAAGAAGGTTTAGAATGCATAGGCATGTGTTTCTTCGAATTGTAGCCGCCCTTGAAAATCATGATGAATATTTCCGAATGAGGGTCGATGCAACTGGTAAAATGGGTCTTTCACCATTGCAGAAATGCGCATCTGCTATTCGTATGTTGGCATATGAGTCTCCTGCTTACAGTGTGGACGAATATGTTCGAATCGGTGAAAGCACTTCAGTTGAGTGCTTAGAAAGATTCGTTCGGGCGTGAATGTTGTATTTGGGGCTGAGTATTTGAGAAAGCCTAACAACACAGATGTTGCACATCTCTTACAAATGGGAGAGTCACGTGGCTTTCCAGGTATGTTGGGTTCCATTGATTGTATGCACTGGGAATAGAAAAATTGTCATGTTGCATGGAAAGGACAATTTTGTCGAGGCGATCATGGTAAGCCCACAATCATGCTTGAAGCAGTGGCATCACAAGACTTATGGATTTGGCATGCATTTTTTGGTATTGCAGGTTCAAACAATGACATTAATGTGCTAAACCAATCCATGTGTTTAACCATATTTTGGAAGGACATGCTCCCACTATGAACTATACAATCAATGGAACATCATATAATATGGGATATTATTTAGCGGACTGTATATATCCTGAGTGGGCTACATTTGTCAAGACTATTTCAATGCCGCAGGGAGAAAAGAGAAAACTATTTGCTCAACATCAAGAATCAGCTAGAAAGGATGTGGAGCGGGCATTTAGAGTGCTACAATCTCGATTTGCAATTATACGTGGCCCAGCACGTGCCTGGCATATGGAAACCCCCAAGCATACCATATATGCTTGCATCATATTGCACAACATGATCGTTGAAGACGAACGCCACACATATGGAGGTGATTTTGATTACTCTTATGATAATGTAGATGACACCAACTCAACAACTGAAACATTTAAGGGTCCTCATCCGAATCTTGCAACAAGACTACAAAGAAGAGCAAGTCTTCGTGAAAAACAAGTTCATCGCCAACTTCAAGGAGATCTAGTCGAGCATATTTGAGAACGTTTTGGACATGAGAATGATGAAAATTAAATTTGAGTAATTCTGTTATGTTATTTATTTTTAATGTTTTTAATTATATGTCATGTATTTGAGATTAATTTTAATTATCATTTTAAATTTTATGTTTAATTTTAATTTGATTTATTTTATATTAATTTAAATTTAAATAATTATTTTAAATTAAATAAAATTTAATATAAATAAAATATTAATATATAAAGTAAAGATGTGAGACCTAATTTGAATTTTTTTAGAATTACACTATTGAAGTAAAAATTGAATGAGTTGCTTCAAGATGATGTGGCTTAATGAGTCTCACAAAAAACTAAAAATTAGGTTACACTATTGGAGTTACTCTAAATTACCTAATCTGATTCCGAAAAAACACAAGTCTAAACTAAAGCAGTTGTTGGGTTTGGTACGAAGTACATGTTTGGTTGGATAAATAGAGTGATGGAAGAAAGTGAAAAACTAAAAACCGAAGAAAATGGAGAATCAGAAGAAATAACATGGAGTTGGGGTGCTGGAACAGATGGTCTCCCTCTCGATCTCAAGGACTCAGCCAACGCCGCAATTGTCGCAGATCCTTCCTTTGAAGTCACTGCCAATTCCAAAACGGTACTTCCTTTCTCTTGTTTCCTTTTCACCTAGGGCTTAATGAAAATTTCTAGAGACAGGAAAATTCTTAGGTAAATGTCATTTATATTTATGTTTTTTTTTAGCTGTCACTAAAATTAGAGAGGATATAACCAAACACTTGGGCTCGAGTGGTAAACAAACTCCTTTTAAGTAATGAAAATTTGGAAAATACCAAATCCGATTCTTTGTGGAAACAATGTTTGACCAGTATCATGACTTTTTTGGCACAAGCTCTGGATTACCAGAGCCCATTTCACTAAAAATCAGAGTGTAAAAGGAAGAAAAAAATTAGAGAGGATATTGGTGTCACTGATTAATGCATATTATAAAATTAGAATAGATGTCAGGTCTGAGGAGTTGGGTGTATTTTTCTATACTTTTTTTAAAGCTTTGTAGTTTAAGACAACAACAGCTACCTTTTGTAGAAGAGAAGAAAGAATCAGGAGACAGACTATGGAGTTGGGGTGCTGGAACAGATGGTCAATTAGGAACTGGTAGAATTCAAGATGAACATCTTCCTCGACAATTGTCTCTCCCCTCTGTCTCGTCGCTTGCCTGTGGCGGTGCTCATGTCATCGCCTTAACCTCGGGTACATATAATCTACGCTCCACCTCTCTTTTTTCTTCTCCAACTCAAATTCCCTGTTGGTACATATATGTTGTATTAATATTCAAAAGTAAAACAAAAAATGCAGCTGGGAAGGTATTGTCATGGGGTAGGGGTAATTCCGGTCAACTAGGCCATGGAGAGGTAGTCAATAACATGTTGTATCCCAAGGCTGTAACGTCATTAGAGAACTACTTCATAACCCATGTTTCTGCTGGTTGGAGTCACTCAGGTTTTGTTTCAGGTTTGGATCTTTGTCTCCCATATATGTTTGTGAAATGGGTATTTGAGTTTGGTTTTCTGTTGAAAGCTGATTACTTTTGTGATTTCATTTGTTCTTGGTTGGTTTCTAGATACTGGAAGCCTGTTCACTTGTGGGGATGGCTCCTTTGGTCAACTTGGACATGGGGATCATGCCTCTCACTGTTCCCCTGTCAAAGTGTCATGCTTTGTTGATCAGCATGTTGCAGAGGTAGCGTGTGGAATGCGGCATTCTCTTGTCTTGTTGAAAGGTATTGAATTGGTACAATTTCTTGCTTAGATTGCTGAGTTTCTGTTTATGAAAGTGAATTCAAGCTTTAAAACACGGTCACGAGGTTGTGTCATTGCTGTGTTTCTTGTTTATGTCTAATTTTTTTACTGCCAGTTTGGTGCTTCTTCCATTACTAAAGGTTGTGATGATGCAGGTTGTCTTTCAAGTCAAGTTTATGGATTCGGCTCTGGAAAGCGTGGTCAATTGGGTTTCTCCAAAGATAAAATCAAATCTATTAATCTTCCTAAAGTTGTTAGTGGATTTGAAGATGTTGATATAGTTGGAATTGCTGCAAATGGTGATCATAGTGCTGCATTATCAGGTAAATCCATCACTCATCCTTTGCATCATATGTGGTTTACATGTTTCTTAATAAATAAGATAAACTAAGTCATCTAGTTAAATTCATATAAAGCAATAGTTTGCAAAAAAAATTACATTGTATATTATATTCTAAAAGTTTCATTATGTCTCTGTCTATTGTTGCATCAGTTGATGGGAATCTTTACACTTGGGGAAGAGGCTTCAAGGGCTTCGAAGATTCTCACCTTCCACAATGCTTAAACTCTACATTGAAATTCACTAAAGCCACTCTAGGGTGGAACCATGCTTTAGCTATGACCGGTATTTATTGCGCCACACATCAAAGTTTTATGATTTCCTCCTTTCTGTCACTTCCCTTTTTAAGAAAGGTGAATTTTGTTTGTTAAATTTGTGTGTAGGTGATGGAGAGGCTTATATGCTTGGTGGCAACCACCTTGGAGTGCTTAAAGATCTTCGCAATGAATGTTCAGGTAAGCAGTTAAATGGTAATGTTTTGAATTGTTGAATCTCAACGACATCATAATTTTTGTACGCCTAGTTGCATACTTGTAGTTATACATAATTATTGTATAATCTGAACAGTCACCGTCAGTTATTAGAATTACAGTTGAGATCGAAAGCTGTGTAATCCCGTGCGTTCGTTTCCCATTACAGGGAGTCCTGATTCAAGAATATGAGCTATTACCACAAATAATTCAGAGTTCCATATAACTAGATAAAAGTTTTCTAAAGTGAACTTGTTTATCATGTTGTAGATTCAAGAGAAGCAAATTTGAAGAAAGTCCCTGGTCTTGATGGAATAAAGATTACTGACATTGCTACTGGAGCCGAGCACTCTGTTCTGGTCACAGGCAAGACATAATTTTGTTACACGTAAGCAAAAGTTTACAATCACATTAAGATGCTGACTTTTTTTTCTTCCTCATTTTAGAGAATGGAGAAATAAAGACATGGGGTTGGGGTGAGCATGGTCAGCTAGGGTTAGGGGATGATGGTGACCAACTCAGTCCTGTAACTGTAAGTCTTGGTTATGATCTGAATGAAGCGGCTTCGACCAAAGTTTATTGTGGAAGTGGCTTCACATTTGCTTTAACCAAGCCCTAAGTTCTCCTCAAACTTGTTCACACACTAGAGGGTGGCACTTTGTTCACCTCCAAATTTGTGCAGTTTTAATGCACTTTGGAAAGAGTGTTTTGCTTCTCAATTGCTGCTCATGGTTCAGGCAGCATTGCACATGGAAACAATAGTCCTCTGGTCCCTCAGGATTGGGATCTAGGAGGCAGTAGTGGATAACTAGCGCTTATTACAATCAAAATCAGAATTACAGAGCTTATTTTCTCAAAGATCATCTCTACTCTTGACATTTATGGACTACTATCAGCAGTGTACAGAAGCCAGTATCACAAATTCTGGTTTGAGCTAGAACATGCCTGAGATTTTCTCCTCTAGACTACAATTGTAAATTTAACTAAGTGGGTGGCTAACATATTTTCCTTGTTAGACTCATGATTTTGTTTATCAGTTAATTTATTGATATTGTCATTTCTCCCAACAAAAAGAAAACCACGAACTCTTCTGATTTTGGTTTCTGATCTTATATAACTAGTGTAAGAATCTGTCTCACTTCTCATGCACATACACTTTCTTTTTTCTTTTAAATCTAATTAAAACTTGTAATATTCGCATAATTAAACTTATTAAATACTTTTAGAACTAAAAAATGAGTCATTAAATCAGTGAATAGATGTTTCCATACACATAGACTTAATTAAACCATTTCTCATCTTCCACAATTAATCGGGGAGCATAGTTTGTTAAGAACAACATTGAGACATGTAAATATAACAGGGAGTATGTTAAGAACAACAATGAAACGTGTGAATATGGAACCACTTGCACAATTATAAGAACGTGTTAGAAATGATTCAATAAGATTAGTTTGAAATCATTCAAGTTATCTACATCTAGAAGAGTTACAAGGAGTAAATAAAAGAATCAATAAACTACTCACTCTATACTTTGTACAAGAGTGAAAAAATGGCTTAAAAAAATTGGGTGGTTAACCTAATGCTTGTCATCCTCTTGTGTTCTACAGATATTTTCTCATCCTCTCAATTTTTTTGTTACATCAATCATGAACAACAAGAAGATTATTCACATATCCATTGTTGTTAACCACCGGACGTAATGGATCAATTTTCCATTCACCATCAACGATGAACTTGATCTGCAACAAAAAACCAAATCATTATATTGCCTTCTGCGTATACCTTATTTGTCACAACCGCTAAGAGTTTAGGAAATCCTTTTGAATAAAATACAACTAACCTCATATTTTCCAGGATACAGCTGTAAAACCACAGAAAATATACCGGTATCTGATTTCTCCATCTTTCTCTGCAATGTAATACTATCGGTTAATATCATTTAAATATATATTGTGCTCGGTATATGTATCTGAACAAATATCAGGAGTCCATATACAAAATGTTGTTATGCTGCATTTGTCAATCTACAAATCAATGACGAATTAGAATTGATTTTTGCAGGATTCAATGACAAAAGCAAAGGCAACTTAATTTCATTGACTAAACACTAGATAATGTGACCTATGAATCCAAAACAAAACACAGGCAAAATTGGTGGTTGATAGTAAAAGTACGTTCATATATATTGTATGCACAAATCCTAAGCAAGACTAATTGTGAACCATCAACTGACATTTAATATAGCATCCATGCAACTAACATATAAAAACATTTTCAATGAAAATAACACAAACGTACATGATCTAATATCTACAATAACCAAAATATAAAGTACTTGGAAAGAAATTAGACCTGGGAAGACCAACCATCAAATGATCCTACTAAAAATACTTCTGAGGCATTATTAGGCCATACTACACAAGTACTCTTCAGAAGTTTCAAAGCTTTGTGGACATAATCAATCTTCTTCTGCTTCTCATCCAGAGCCTTCTGTGCATCCCTGGGAGAAAAGAGTGTGATATTGTCAAGATTTAAATTTTTGTGTATTTGTGTAAGAAAATATTTGAATGGTTGTCTGTCTGAGAGTACATTATTGCCAATGCCATCTTTCCTTCTAACACTGCCAACTTAGCACGTAATGAACGCAATCTGGCTTGAGCATTCATGATTTCAGTTTCCTGGAATTCCCAAGCATCGGAAAGCTTTTCGAGATTATCAGAAGTGCTCTTCTGCTCCTATTAAAGAATATACAGCAGACAAAACAAGACTCTTTTAAAGATTTTCTGAGGAGAAGCCTTCAAAGCGATGTTGACAAAGAATGAAAAACTTTTGGAAATTTTTCTTTACATCTAGTAGTGGTGATATTTTCACCACTGAAAACCCAAAAATACCATTCGCACGTGCACTTGCGAATTCACATATCAAGATGTTTCGGAAGTGCATATGCGAAGACACCTTTTTTTTTTGCACATTTTAATATTTAAACGTTGGATTTTAAAATATTGAGGGGGTTTCGCATGTGCACATACGAAACATCCTGAAAGGTGAATTCGGATGTGCACATGCGAAACTTCCCTTTCCATATTAGAATATTATTTGGTCACCTATTTCAATTATTTCATTCATTTTCTTTTCCTCTAATAAAAATCCTCAACAAACTTCAATCATTCTCAATGAATTTTTCGTCTCCAAATCAAGTTTCAAGTGTTTGAGCTTAGTAAACTGAGCATTGAAAGCTGCAATTTGAGGTAAACTTTCATCCCTTAATCATACATATTGTAAAATCTATACGTTTCAATACATATATAACATATTATCTATATTTAGTTTTACAATTATTTGTTTTTCCATGCCTCTTTGGTGCAAACAATAGTTTTGTTTCTGTTTTTGCATAATTCGGAAGTGCACATGCGAATTAACCTTAAATACTAAAAAAAAAAAAACACAGCTTAATTCGCATATGCATGTGCGAATTCACCTATTTTTATAAAAAACGTGGTGGTTGCGGAAGTGCACATGCGAATTCCCCTTATTTGTGTAAAAATATAAATAATTCGCATGTGCACTTAAGAATTAAGTCCTGATAAGATTTCTTTGATCCATATTACTCCAACTTGCCTATATATTGAGTCTCCAAACCATTTCATTCTCCATCAAAAACTAAAACCAGAAATGACACAAACATATCCACACCTTACTTTTCTCTACTTCAGTGGTGCGTAGTCACCACTTCAATTCAGGTTCTCGCAGGACACGCCGTTCGCCGAGCTATTTACGATACTGCATTCTCTCTTGCAGTATCCAGAGAATCGAAAGGTGGTCAAACTTGAGTATCGTTCACTTTCACTTGACACTGAAGGAAATGTAAAGTTCACTCTGTTTGAGCTCAAGAACGATAATGAATTAGAGGTTATGTGGGATACCTTTCAACAATACTCTTCCAAGGGTCCGATTGAGATGGATGCGAGGCTTCAAAGATCGGCATCAGATGTTATCAAGATGTTGCACCGTCCTCAACTTCCCGTTTATAACAATATGTAATTTTAATTTTCTGCATAACTAATTATGTAATTTCTTTGAATTATGTTGAATGAATGTTATGAATTATGTCGAACAATGTTGATTGATCTGCCCAGACATAAATTCGCAGATACACATCCAAAAAAACCTAACAGGTGACTTCGAATGTGCACATGCAAAGTAAATCTACGAAATCACGTTGATAGTGCGTTCGCATGTGCACTTGCGAATATTTTGAATTTTTTGCAACAGATCTTGGAGAAGGGTACTAGGTGTAGAAAGAAATTCCCAAAACTTTTCTATTAAAAAGAGAACACTCTTCTAGGATCTAGTTTCTTTACAGTAAAGCAATCACACATTTGTGGTAGCTAGTAGCTACTCCTCTGCTCCTTAACCAATTAAATAACACATATTGTAAAATATCCTAAATATACCATTTTTTTCTCATTCATAGTAGAATATGTGCCCTCACAAAGATAGGTGATGACAAATTCTGATATCTATTTTTTCTAATCATTGAAAAAATAAAATCACCCATCCCTCATGAAAATATAAAGATAATTGGTAAGTGAGACTCTCAGGTAGTGTGTGAATCTTGTTCTATTTCTTTACTTTTTACTGGAGTAAGTTACATGAAAGTCCCACTATTAGTTCATTATATTATAGCACTTACGACTTACCGTCAGTATTGTAACATCACTGGTGTTTGACCTCAATGAGTATAGTACTGTGGATAGCTCTGATTCCAGAAGCTGGATACGGGATTTTATGTCATTGCGATTTGCATCTAATCCGGTTTCTCTGTTTACAGGCTCGTGAGAAAAATCTCCTATTTTGACAATTTCAGGTCGTCCTGAAACATCACTCACACCTCCTTTCTGAATATCGCTGGGAACAATTTCAGCATCTGTACGTCACGCAAATATATTAGTTGATCCCGACTGTAATACACAGAAAGAAACAACTTTAAATGTGAGATCGATTACCTTCAAAATCTGCATCTGAATAACCAGTCCTCTGAACAACCCAGCTTCTCCACGTCTCTGGCTTAATTGAGTTTCTTGATTTATCAGAACCAATTTGAGATCCGTGTTGATCAAGTTTGATCTGTGAACTACTTAGAGGTCTGGTTGTTGGGTTCAACGAGGATGGCTTACTGCTATTGTGAAGGTTGACAGCTACCTTTACCACATAGGAAATGCCAAAATTATTACTTTAAAATTTCAGTAGTAAAGGCATCAAAAGCTACGTTTAAATATTTTAAACTTGATTCTCTCAACTTCTGCTCACTACAACTCGTGAGCAATAAAACATTGCTCTAGTTAGCTTTAACTGGTAGGAAGAAATACATAATAGAAGAAACATTGAAAATATGAACATTACTTTTTTTTTTCAATATCACCCATGATTCATAAATCCCAACATATATTTTTTTGCTTCAGACATATGTAATAAAATAGAAACTAAGGAATGGCCTAAAGCATTTGAAAGGGATAACTTTTACTTACTCCATCCATTGGGGTTCTATGATCCCATTTATCCTTATCTTTATTATTATTATCGGGTGAAATGACATCTTCTTTCTCCCCGAATCCACGCCCAAAAGAACTATTTCTGTGTTTTTCCAGCCGATTCAGTATACCCTCAATGCCAGATTCCTCAACTACTATTTCCCTGTTTAAAAGAATATAACACTTGGGGCATCACACAGTATTATCTCTAATTCATTCATTTGACAATAAGAACGATGACAAGGCATCAAAGAAAAATGATAGAAACTTGCAAATGTAACTAAACTAACACATTAGCTCATTGCTGCAAGATTAAAGATGTATCCAAAATGTTCCAACATTCATATTACACCTAAGAACTAAACCGGGCTCACTTAAAACTACAAACCATTCCAGGAGAAGAACAATATAACATCAACCATGTCTTATCTCACTAGGTAGAGTTCGCTAAATGGGTTTAACAACGTCATAATGCTCTATCATAGATCATATCTATATTCAAATTCAAAGTATTGACCTTTAGGTCTTTCTTAATAGTTTATCCAATATTTTTTTTTGTGGCTTTCCTTTACCTCTATAGCGACATGACTACCCTTCATTTGACCGACTCTCCTAACAATATAGTGTCGGTCTCCTCCAAATATGCCCAAAGCACCCAAGCGACTGAGTCACGATTCAACCATCTTTTCTATGACAGGTGCTACCCAAACCCAAACCGTCTCTCTAATGCTATCTATCATTCATAATTCTATCTCATCTAGTATTTTAACACATCTAACCCATCATTCTCATTTCTACTACAATGATTTTATTCTCATGATGTTTTTATTGTGCAACACTCAATCTCATACAACATAGTCACTCTTAAATAAAACTAGTAGAAAGTTCTAAATGTCCAAAATGTACTAAGCTTAGTAAGCTACTAACAAATTAACAAATTGCTACTAGAATAAATACCCATGTTAGGCACCTTATCAATCCCCATATTTCCACACACTTCCAAACCACGAAAATATAAATGCAAGAAATGATTTACAACAAAAGAATATCAAAAAGCAAAAGATAAGAGCAGGTTCATCATTAAAATAGGATCCTCACACTGGTTCAGCTGGTTGAGAAAAGTTAACCAGAGAAGAACCAGAAGAAGAGGAAGAAGCAGCAACCCCGGAATCCCTAGTTCCATTCCCATCAATCTCACTACTACTCTCCTCTTCAAAATCAACACTTTCAAGAGACCCATCATTCAAATCCCACCCATAAGAAAGCCACCCACCTTCTTTCACAATAGCTTCAGCCAAATCTGCTCTCCCAGCTTTAACCAGCTCTTCCTTCGTGGGAAACGCATCCGGGTTCTCCGATTTCTGCATAAACTCCAAAATCTCATCCTCCAACGACGAGAAATCTCCAGCCCAATCCTTACAGCGCGTCAAAAACCGAGAACAAGACCAACACAAACCCCTGTTGGAAAAACCCCCGCGCCTAATAATCAAACCGGGCTCCCGTTGCACCCTCCTGGAAGAAGGTAGAGACACAAAGATAGGAGGAAAGAGAGAAACGGTTAAATGGGGATAAAACACCGAAAGATAGGGTGCGTTGAGAGAAAACATGGTTCAGGCATTTCGTCGAACACTTGCTCGGCGTGAAACGAAAACGAGTGCAGCGGGAGAAGTAAAACTAAATGGTAGTAATGAAGAAAACAAGGTGCAGCGCGCGAACCAAGCAACGAACAATACTATCTGAACTGGGAATGGGATCCAGAAATGTTATAATATTGTTATTGCACACTTTCCACAATTGTCAATACTTGTACACAACTATTTTCGAGTAAATAAATAAGCAAGTGGATAATTAACTTATTTTATAACCAGGAGTGTTATATCTGACACGTGAATATTTTAATTCATCTCATAATCAGTGAAATTGTGTTTCTCAAAATTGAAAGTATATTTTCGATTCCACCATACTATATATGAATTCTGTTGAAAGGGTTGGTTGCAAATCAGAAGTATATATCCGATTTTAAATTATAAGTATATTTTTGGTTTCTGGATGCACTAAATTGTATCATGCCTCTTCCCCTCCATTACAATAACCATTTTCAAAACAAAACATAAAAATCTCTCAAACTCCCTCAAACCCTTATTACATCATTCACATATTTGGTCGAAAAATCATCAGAAATCATTAAGTATTGATTAAATATAGCATTCTAATGCAATCAAGCAAGCAAAATCAACACCAATCAATCAAGTTATTTTTTAAATTTTTAGAGTTTATGTAATTTCTACTCAAATTAGTTAATTAAGGTTTAAATTGTGATATTGTAGCTTGTTATCAACATTAGGAGTCATTAGAAATATGTTTCTAAAGTTAATTTTGTGATCAATGCCCTTTTTATGAGCTCATTGAGTGGACTAAAACGTCATTTTTGTTGCTTCTTTTATCGCAGCAGGATACCAAGTTGAATGAAACCACTAAGTGGGGTACGAAGCAGATGACCGACAGCATGTCACTCATGACGGTATAAATTCTTTGTCTTTGTGGTCTTTGTTAATTATTTTGATTCCTGAACTAACTATTTAATTTTGTTATTTCAAGGATGGATCCTACAACACTTCCTCCGTATATCGGGTTGGTCATATGTTACGAGTTATACTGAAGATAAGCCACGTGCATGCGCATACAACCCGCTCCGAGGGAATCAGGCGATAGAGTCATTTCATATTTACATTGACCGACTGGTGCATGGGGATATTCACTTTAGTTCATACGTCGGCCACTGTGTCACGATACCGCTTGACGAGGTTGTGCTGCTTACAGGTTGGTTGGCTTGCATGATTCGCAAGACTGCTGCTTATATGTCTGAGCGGGTGATGCGTCAGTTCGGATTTATCCAGACCATTCTTCGGGATCCTGCTGTATGTGTTCCTCCGACTGTGAAACGAAGGAATATGAATGCTCTGTTAGATGACATTGAGAATCATCTTGTTTCTGATGAGGCGAGGAGTACCGTAGCACCAGACGACTGGAGTTACGAGTACGGTTATATGATATGGTTATTCAAGGTGTCTCATCCGTACATGGTAGATGATGCTACATGAACCCACCGAGGCCAGTTCATCAGGAGATCCTAGAGGAGGAGCAGACTAGGAGGGATCATGCTTATGACGTGTTGCCTAGGTGTCGTCGTATCATGGAGCTTGTGCAGGATGGTATTGACATTGACTTGTTTCCTGATGGATCCAATGTTAGAGGTGTTTTGGATGCCATCATGGAGGAGGTTCAGAATGCTCTGTTTTACAGGAGGCAGCAGAGAGACGCCTCGAGGGTGACAGACCGACTCATCATCCACCATATTCAGTAGTTTATGCTGATACATTTGTATTTTGGTTTTACTTGTTTGGTATCGTATTGTATCATGTTTGTATTTGGATCACTTTGTTCCATTTGTGACGTGTATGATTTATACAAGTTTTAATTTGTGATGTGAAAAAATGAGAAATATATTTCCTTGCAAATCTGGTTTTTCTGCTACTGAAAGCATCAGAACCAGAAATTTATTATCAATTTAAAATTGGAATTATACTTCCGATTTTAAGTCAAATTTTTCAAAAAAAAATACACCGAAAATATACTTCTGATTTTAAAAAGACGTTATAAAAATTGCATAGGGTTTAATTTTTTTCACATAAGATAGGATAAGAAATAACATTGACACTATATATATCAACTTTATACTAATGTATCTATCTATCTTCTACCTTTTTTATTTCTTACACTTAGACAAATTCCAATAATACAATATTACATTTAAAAATTTCACTTTACACATTTTTGAAATCCAAATTTAGGTTTCAAAATATCAAAAATTATCCAAATTTATCAAGTGAATTTGACTCACATTATACTTAGAATTTAAAGGTAGCACACTGTTTGTTTGTGTTAAACAGTTTTATATATAACAATCAAAATTACTCATATATTTATCATGTCATTTTACTATTTTAAAAATAAAAATAAAATTTATATGATATATCTCTCTCATTAATTTGATAATATAAAAATATTTTATATTTTCAATACATTTTCTTTTTTCTCTTATACTTATAATTTGATGTCTGGCTTTTACCATTAAATTTATTATAATGTAATCAGTGTGTCCATTTGATTTTAAAGTTTAATAGATTTATATATTATTCCACATAATATAAACAATTTAAAATTTAAAATTTAATTTGATGGAACACATGATCGCTATTGATTAAAAATATAAAATTTTATTTATATAATTGGTGCATCATTCATTTTGTTTATAAAAATTAATTTTTGTAAATTGATTTTATAAAGGTGATTTTGAATAAAAATGATCTATTTTAATATATTTATGCAAAAAATAATTAAAAATAAAAAATTTAATTTTAAAATCATATTCCATTATAGATTTTAGTAAAATCAATTATAAAGATATAATTAATTTTAATTTAATTAATTAAATATATCAAAATTATGTCTATATCTTTATAATTATTTTTATCTCTTTTTAAATGCGAATCAAACATACAATTAATCTCCTAATATATAAATGTTCTAAAAATAATTAATGAAATTTGATTAAAAAGATTACTTTTAAATAGATTGATACAATCAATTTTAAAAATAAAACTACTTCATATTTCTTTAATTAAAATTTTATATTATAAATAAATGAGATATTACGGATTAAAACAAAGATGTTTCTCTATATTTATAAAGAAATGTCTTAACGAAATTAATTATAATTTTTTAAACAAAGAATTTGTGAAATCATAAAAATAGTTATATAACACATATTTTTATCAAACATACAACTTTTATCAATTTATTGTTACAATTATTTTTCTTATTTATACAATTTATAGAAATCTTGTAATAAAAGAAGGAGTACAATCTTATAATTTTAAAAATGAATATTGCATCCAAAAAATTTAATCTAATATAATACTTCTTTTAATTTTTTTATAAGAAACACTTTACTTTTTACATTTATTAAATAATTAATAATTAATATATCTGATTTATAATATAAATATATTAATTATTTAATAAATTTATAAAGTTGAAAGATGTCTTATAAAAAAATATGTCTTGTAGAGAATAGCAACTTTGTTTCTCTTTTTAGATTGGATTGAAAATGATGAGTGGATGTGATTAATGCCAAAAGAATACCTTAAAAACTATAATTATATAATAAAACAAAATTGACAAAGTAGCTAGTTGGGACATAATTCATGTTCACAAATCGTCTAATGTACAATGAGGTGGAAAGAGGGTCCATGTGAATAGTTTTTTTTTTAAATTTATTTTTAATAAATATTCTTGGCTCAACTTGACAAAGGTTGTTTCAATTTTTGATGTCGGTAGGATTGGAGTAGCATAAATGAGAGATCATGTGCAGACCAGACACAAGAAAGTTACCGTGGTTGGTTGTCACTATTATGAAACTTCATCGTTTTCTTTCCTCCGACATCATTAGCCACGATTGTCACCATTATGAAACTTCATCGTTTTCTTTCCTCCGACGTCACTTGCAAAGATTTGGGTGGGAAATCAATTTAATGAGCGTTTGGATCTGCATTTTATGTCAATCAGACGCCATACAATAGAAGCTGAGATTTTTAGCTTCTCAAATTAAAATATTAGATTTAAGATATTCTAATAGAAATGAGTTTAGTATAATTAATTTTAATAGAATTGAGTTTAATCAAATTGATTTATGTTTTTATATATTTATATAAAAGTGAGTTGAATAATAAATTTCAATGTAAAAGTTACTCAAAATTAATTCTGAAATCATAAATTACAAATGCTAATTTCAACTAAAATCAATTACGGAGACATAATCAATTCAACTTTAACAGAATTACACATGTTAAAACCATTACAAAATGAATTATGTATTTTAAAAGTGTTTTTATCCTTCTAGAAAACCAAACATACACATCTAAACACACACTTAATTAACCATCATATTTGATATTTTGAGTAACAAAATTATTTGACTAATCCATCATACATTAAGTTATCTTTCGAAACTGTTTGAAAGTTGGTTTTTTTAGAGTTTTAGAAGAGAAAATTTTGGAGGGTTGTAATTTGCATCTATATCTTGAAACGTGTGTGATATTTTTAAAACGTTTAAAAACTAATATATTACATTAACATATAAAATTATATTGTTTTCTAAATTTTTAAAAAATATTAAACATTTTTCAAGATATAGATGCAACCCTCCAAAGTTTTCCCCTCTAAAATCCTTCAAAAACCAACTCCTAAACAGTCCCTTAGTGTTACATGGTTACTCTTAGTGTTTATTCAAAACTAGTATTCGGACAGGCCCTCTCGTTCCGTCTTTCTGCTTTTTTCTTAGCCTTCTCTTACCATTTCTTTCGCAACATCAACATCTAGACGAGTCACCAGACACTTTTCTCTCGCTTGAGAGGCATCTAAAATCCTCTTAACACATATGTCTAGATATACTTTCACGATTGGAGGTAGGAACTTTGAAGAAAAATTAACAAGAGGTGGAGGAATAAATTAGGAAGTCGTTTTTCAAGAAACATAATCCTTTGGA